GTACACTGATTCAATTGTCAATCTTAGTGTTACCAGCCTCCAAGTGGAGGTTTTTCCAATTTCTTGGTGATTGTCAGGAAAAGAATTTCAGGATGTACCATGTAAGCCAAGAAAGTGACAGCTTTTTTGAAGGTGAAAGTACACTTTCAGGAAACAAGAATGGGCAGCTCAAAAGAAAGCAGCTGCCCTGAGAGGAAGTGGTTTAAGATCTTTTGTAGCTTTATTAATTGAGGGAAGAATATTCAACCCCAAGGGTTGGCTTTTACTAAGAATTTGGGTAGTAATTCCTAGAATTGGGTTCCCTCCCATTTTCATACTTTATGTGGTTATCTTGGAATTGTCATAGTGATTTCAAGGACAAAGAAATTTTAAAACTGAAATTTAAATGATATTATAATTAGCCAAATTTCATGTAAGGTGACAGGGTTACAGAGATAGCTGACAAGCTGATTGAAGCCTGTTCTTGCCTGTGGTTATCAGCCCCTCTAGCTAGCTTCAGCTTGAAGGTTGTTTCCTTTAACACTGGTACCCAATCTTCAAACCCCTGCTTCCAGTCTCAGTCATGTCTCATGTAAGTGCTGTCTCATTAAATGAAGCAAGAAGAGTCAAAAGAATCATGAAGAGATAAAAAAAGTAAAAGGCAAAAAAAAAGAAGAGAAGTGGAAAGAGAAGACGGAGTGAAGAAATGACATAAATTTAATATCAATTGTCTCTTGATTAGAAGTGCTTATTTGGGGACTACATTAAAATTCTCTGTATGATGGGTTAGTCCAGTTCTGTATGTGTGGAGAAAACAAATGCATAAAGTTTTTCAATGAGTGATACTCATTACCACACTAGTACTCAAGCATAGTCAATTCCCAGTTAATTTGTCACAATTAACCAGCAAATCCCAAGTAGGCCAACAAAAAATGCACGGGACCTGCATTTTTGACTTATCCAGCAAAACCTATTGTGAAAGAGAAGGTATAAGAAATGAGTTATAACACATTTCTCTGGCTGTTTGTTTTCTCTTTACAAAGTTAAAAGGAGAAATTTTAAGCCCTTTTACCCTACCAGTGGTCTGCCTTACCTGAAACAGTGATAGAGTTGCCTGATGCATTCGGAGCCCAATGCAGGTAAGTGTGTACATATGTGGATGGGAATTTGGGATTCCCTCCCACCAAACTTTTTTTGGTATTTATAGATGGTTAGCATTCTTTCTGCCATTTATCCTGCATTTCAGAGCAAAGCTAGACCTATAAACTGTAATGTACAACAACGTACAACTTGTGGTAGAGAACATTTCTCAGGATAGGAAATAATTTACAGGTGGTCAGAAGAATAGATGTTGCTAAATTTTATATTTTTCAGCAGTACCATATATACAATTTCTAGCATATTTTGTATTTAATTAGATTCAGTGGGATGACTTGAGAATATAAGCATTATTTTTCCTTTTTTCTTCTTCCTTACTCCTTCCTTTCCCTTCCTTCCTTTCTTCCTTCCCACCTTCTTTTCTCCCTTCTTTCTTTTAGGAAATATTTTTCAAATA